CCCCCCCCCCCCGGTGTTTGCCATCGGGGTTGGGATTTCGTCGCTTGACAACGACGTTGCAAAACAAGCCAATCACTTCGTGAGCTCGGCAACCAGGCTAACTCTTTTTTTTTTTCCATTTTTTTTTTTACGGTAACCATGAATGGTGGTCGAGTAGATTACGTTGTGCGGGGTCGAGAACCCTCACTCGGCGCAAAGCGGATAATCGCACCACGTTGTGTTAAAATGGTCAAGCACCCTCGAGGCAGTTACGCAGTGCTTACAACTGTCTCTGGAAGTGAAAGCACTAGAAAATAAATCAAGCCATACGCAGCTGTCATCCGTACGCGAGGAAGTAAAGAGCAAGATGCCGAACACCCGTAGCAGGATGCAGCGCACCCTTCATGCGACTCGCCGAATATATCATGGCGCTTCGCGCTTGGTGATGTGAAAGCCTGGTCCGGTGAGAACCCGGCGTGCTCCCGGCTTTGAAGGGATGCGAGGTCAATGGTCTAACGACTACGGAATGCACGACTATGAGTACACCCCCCCCCACCCCCCCGTTACTTCGTTTTCTGTGTGTGTCTCTCTCTCTGCCCCTGGAATATTAACCTATCTTGTTTTCCTGCATCTTTTCAGGGTTCGTTGGGCACGAAAGATTCCCACGGAAGCGTGTGGACAGATGTCGGCGTCGGCTGGACCAGAGCTGGAGGTGGATCAAGAGTGAGTGGGCTCGCGTTCGGTTGGAGTGGGATGTGTGGCCTCGGGCGATAGCCATAGCCGATGGCTGGTGGGCCTTGCGCTTGAATGGTCGAACGCGTCACCGTTAGAAACCAAGACTTCACTACATAATATCGAAGTATTAGTACCGTAAGAAGAAGTGCTTGGAGTCTTGAACAACAACCTAGGGTTACGGTCAGGGGGTGCCGGATTTCCCAGTAGAGAGTATGAAATGAGCCTTGGGCAAATTATAAGGTTTAAGTTAAGCGGTGGCAATATCTGTTGATGTAGTAGGTGCATCCCCACGTTGCCTCGCTCTTGTTTCCTTCACGTTGGAGATCCATCCTTTCGTGCGGTCCCACTCGCCTGTTGCTCGTCAGTCACACACCTCAAGACCCTGTTGCCCCCCCGCTTTCACAGGCGCGCACCACTACATTGCTGTCGCATGCAACGGCACGAAGCTGTCCAATTCTGTCACTTGTCTCGGCCTGGGCGAGCGACCCATGCAGGCCACCGCGTATACATCTCGATTCTTGACACGCTAGCCCCCTTGCACACCTTGAATGCTTGCCCCAAATCTGGACGGAAAATATCAAGCTCTTGGCCAGTTCTCCTTCTAGCAAGCAGTTCCAATGCCGCTGCTGTTTTTTTTTTTTTCCACTGCTGTTGATGTTTTAGGGCGGAGCTTTGGTGCCACGGCGGTGCTGGCGGGGGCGCGTGGATAGAGGCGCGGGTCCATAAGGCAAGTGTCATGGACTGAGCGAGTGGATTTGACGACGTTTGATCGGTTGACAAGGCGAAATGCAGACGGTGAGCACAAAAACCTTAATAGTCTACGTTTCGCACCTGCTGGAGGCATGTTTTTTCCGATACTGAATCGACAGTAGTAGGTAGAGAGTGCAGTCGACTGGGTTTCCAAGCGTCGCAATGCAGGTGGCATGCCGTGGGTTTGACATTAGTTGTACGTACTTAACACACGACAGTGCGGAAGTGAAGGCACCTAGGTGGGGCTAACCCAAGGTCGGCGAAGGTGCCCACGGGGTTCGTTTCCAATAACCTGACCTTCGCGCCGAGCGTGTCAAAATGTCGCCTGTCCGTCCCCCTCTAGAATGATTTCAATGCTGCGCTCGACGCCGTTTTGAAAGGCTCACATCACGTTGCATCTGATTTTTTCTCCTGTGCAGATTTCGCATTCATTGGTATGCTTGTCGGACCGCCACCTCGCCTCCCAGCTCCACTGGGTCTCACGAGACCGTGTTAGGCCGAAGTTCGCAGCTCCCCGATCCATCGCGAACATCGTAGCTCGCGCGTACGACAGAAGAGGCTCAGCCGCCGCAGGAGATCCGGAAGGTGAAGCGACGTTGCGGCAAACCTGGACACTCTTGTCGCACGTCCCGACTTTTATATGCGGGGCACTGGATGACTGTTTGTGAAATCGCTTGTACCTACGTCCCCTTTCGCCTCCTCGTTTTCTTCCCTGGGCCCCTGGGTGTCCGTGGCATCGCCTCGTCTGGCACAGCACCGCCTGCCGTAGGTGGGCCTTCTTAGTGGAGAGCGCGGTTGATTGTTGGCGTTTTTCCTCTCCGGTGGGACAGCGTGGCTTTGTTTACACCCGAGAACCGATGTTACAGAGGGGGAGCATTGCTGGTTTGCAGCCTCGCCTACCGTTGTGACCGGGCGTCCTCCACAACGGCGAAAACAAGCACGAGAATGGCCCCCCATGCATGATACGCCCCTCGGTTGCTGTTCGTTGTAAGCCATTGCTACGCGAGAAGCCGGCCTCGTTGCGAGGGAACAGCAGTGTCATTGTACAGTACGTCCACCAGTTTGCCCCCGTCTCATAGCATTGTTTTTCTCTGACCAGCGTGTAAACGATGTGCCTCCCGTTTGCAGACCACCACCACGACGGAGATAAGGCGAGCGTGACTTCCAGCTTGTCCGGGCGCTGGAGACGGCTTCCGACCTCGTTAAACTTTCCGGCTCAGCACTCAAGAAGGGATTCGGGACTGCGCCTGGAAGGACGTCGCGCCAGAAGCAATCGCGGCGACCGCTGTTGCATAATGTGAATGAAAACCAACATTTGTTGTTGTTTGTTTGCCATCCCATTACTCTGAACGTGGGTCTTTTACACCTTTCTAGGTACAAATTCCTGGACGCACCAGCCTGGATCACACAAACACAGGAGGAAGGCAGTCCACACAGGAGATGTTGGCCTCCTTCAATGCGAGGGGTTCTACTCCCGTCATCACGGCATGGTGAACAGACTCCGCCGAGCATTTGATGGTTGCTATGTCCTTACCACAAGGATTTGCGCCGAATCATTTTCGACTTTCTAACGGATTCGTACCTGGGGGGCCCGGCGAGGGAGCTGTTCTTAGTGTATTGCCGTTTCGGGTGTTGCTCGGAGTTAGCACATTGGCACAGAGGGCACACGTATGGTAGAGAGAAAGAGAGAGGGGGAGAAGGAGAGGGAGAGGGAGAGGGGGAAGGAGAGGGAGAGAGAGAGAGAGAGAGAGAGAGAGAGAGAGAGAGAGAGAGAGAGGTGGACACGCAGGTGGATATCCCTCGTCGGCGTTTGGGTAGGCGACCGCATAAGTATAGCAACAGGTCTGTTCTTGTTTTGACAGAAATCCTGGGTGTCCGTCCGAGGCCTCACACACCCCGGCTACAGGTTTGCCAGTTGTGTGTCGACATTCCTTGTACACAAGCACAATTTGTTCCTTGCAGGATGTCCTGATACTTGTTTCACGAATGAGCTTTACACGGCCCCACGCTGTGCTTGACTGAGTTGCTTGAACGTGAATTGAGGCAGGAAACATCGTACGCTGAGAATTGGCTGAACATTATTGAGACTACATAGTTGTTGTCGCTCCGTACACGAGCAAGGCGTACCGCGTGCGTGCGTGTTGTGATAGACCCTCAGTCTGAGTTATGCGTAAATTCTTCAGGAGTGTACACGTTTTTGAACTTGCCGCCAACGTGCTGCATGTTGTGCTTGCTGCTCGTTGCATTGCGCGTGTCGCAGAGACCGATGACAGAAGGAGACTTGATTGAGGAAACTGCGTGGTATGTGTCGAGCCACACATGCCTAGAGACAGACATGGTTCAGCCAGTAACAGCTATACATTCACTGTAAATTTCATAGTGATTTTCACGTGGCCAACTTCCCAAAAAAAACATTATTTTTGCAAGGTATTATAGTGTTTTGCCAGGTTTCTCAAAAAGTTGTGGGTCGCTTGTAAGTACAGTACGGGCATTGTGTTGGAGTTGTTGGGGAACAATACGGTAAGCAAACAACCAAACGCTGTGCGATTCTTGTCTGTCGTGTGGAAAATCGACCGACCTCGGCGACTAGCGAAAGATCCTTGGACATGGAAAAAGTAGTGACCCCCTGGTCCCAAAAAGTATCTCCAGAAATTGTTAATTTGGACGATTCTTCGATTTGTTTTTTTGGCTCGCCCCCTCCCGGATAATACTTCGATTTTTTTAGTGTTGTCCTCAAGTTACAGAAAAGCAATTCTATGCATACAACCGAAGGTATCGCCGAATATTTGTCCTGTCATTTGTGGAATGCGTTCTGTAATGTTTTTGGGGGAAATGCTTTTTTTTCAAAGGCATGCTTTGTTTGAGCTTTGTCGTGTTGTTTCGAATTTTGAGGCGGGCGATAGCCTGTGGGACATTGTGAGAGAGGTGGGATCGTCTTTCGCCAATTTTACCTTGTAATGGGCTCTATATTTGGAAGTTGCGGTAAAGTCATGTTACCATCGCACGGCCATGAAAGCTGGTCTGTTCAGAATGTGGTGGAGACGCAATAGCCCGGCTCGTCTGGAAGTACTATTCGTCGATTTCATCTGTGCGATGGGGAGCATATATTCGCTTGTTGATGGCCGAGGGTGTGAACGCCTCTCTCTCGCGTTTGAAAAAATCGCCGACGGTGTCAACATCATGCACTGCCCTATGAACCACTGCGGTTGTTCGCTGTCCTGTACCAGAAGCAATGGTTAGGTCTCGTCATTCCGGCAGGGAGTTCGGTTGGATCGGATTCGTTCGTCGTCGCATCCTGTTCCTGAAAACCGCTCTAAATCCCGTTGCTCGGACTTGTGCGGCGCATTGCACGCTCCCCTGTGTGCTTAAAGAGGAATGCTAGATACCTGCGGATACGATCCCGTGTTCCACGAGATGCGGTTGCTCTGGTACGGTGAATGTGCGTTGCTTCGATGAGACGGGCGGCACGAAATCCTTTCCAGGAAGTCAGTACTGATTGTATCATGGACGTTGCCACGCCACGTCTTTGGCGAGCCCGGTGCCAGCAGGCTGGTGAGGCCAGCTGAGCGACATAGACGACAGAGCAGCGAGAGGACAGCGAGCGAGTGGGCGATCGGCGATGCATGCACCCCAGTCTGCACCGAAGCACCGAAGCACCGACACCTGACGACACCAAGTACTGCTGTATACGGAACCGGTTCTTTTCCGGTTGCCAAGCAGTGTATCGTAGTACTGTTTCGAAACGGAACCGGTTCTTTCCGGTCGCCAAGCGGTACATTTGGGGCTCCGCCGTGTGAAGGCTTCATACGAAAAGCATTCCCCATCCTCTACGCCCTCTGGCCGTCAGCTGGCTCTCCGCGAAGGCGCTGTGACTTGCCACTGTTGCACTACTGCTGTTCCCGGTGCACTGCCTAGTGGTCTCCTATGACTACCGAAGGCGAGAGGATTTGCGTGTGATTGAGGCAGAAACGACTGAACAGGGGAGGGAGTAGCAATCCCGTTGCAGGGGATGATGTACAATACACACGTTGATAGATAATTTGAAGGGCAGGTCGGCCATCATAGGCCGTAGACGAGTAAAACTCGTGTTGTGTTAATCGGGGGCGTCCTTGAGCTCGTGAACAATCGATCACGCGGCGTCAATCTCCACGTGGATCTCCACATCTATCTCCGTTCCATCACTCCCAAGGACTGGAAACTTCCCGTTCCTCCTTACCTCATCATCACCGCCAGGAGTGCTGTATAACCAAGATATCAACCGTCATACATGTTGCGAAGGATATCCAATATACGTCACCTCGGTGATGTTCTGCAGGCGGGACAGACAAACAAAATAATGTTGACCTCGCGACCGTTGAGAGAATGGGTACGGGTGAAGCAAGCCATGGATTCCGGTCAAATTTGTATCAAGATCAAGGCGCACAAAAAACTTTTTTTCAGACACCCAGACCATGTAGACTATACCCGAAACTTTTTGTCAGACCTCCGGGGGGGGGGGCGTACTCTTATGTTTTGCATGCCTTAGCGGTTAGACCATTGACCACGCATCCTCGAGAGGACGGAGCGTTGTTCCCACAGGACCGATCACCGATGGCCAATCGTTCCTTTCAACTTTGCCAAAGGTGGCTCAAAAATGTCTTCCCTAGTGATTATCCTAACGATATCCCTTCCCGTCTTTTCAACCCACCTCCTATGCCCCAGTACAGCTACCGTCCACTCCTCTCTAGTCCATGCCTCAAACATCTCCCTGTACGTCCCATCTATTTTTCCCAGCTCAGTCACGTACACTTCCCTCTCCTTCTTGTACAACGGACATTCCGCGACAACATGAACACGGTCTTCGCATTCGAAGCCACAATCGCATTTGAACTCGTCGTCTTCCTCGTCTACCGTCCTATGTCTTCGTCGACGTTCTCGAAGGCCTATGTCCCCGGTCCTGAATTTGACCTTAAGCTTTGTTCCTGCATCCATTGGTCCATGTAGGTAGTCCTTGAACCCTATTCCTTCCTTCAACATTCCGTACACTTCTAGACCCTCCTTATCCTTGGATTCTTTCCTCAGATTCTGTTCTTCTCTCTCGGCACAAGCAACAGATATCTTCTCCTTGAACCCCTGTAGACCCTCCGTTTCCAGCGTTTCATCTTCGTCGATGTCGAGCCCCTTCCATACGTCATCTACAACCTTGACCCATCCCGTGGGTTGTCTACCCCTCTTTTTGTTTGCCCACTTCGCCTCCCATACAATTCTCGGCAACCTCTCCTCTCCCATCCCGCACATGCGATACTGCCAGGTCAGCTTCCTCGCGTCTCTTCCCGACCGTAGGGATTGGATCCCCAATTCTGCCCTCACGGCTGCATTACTTGTGCGCCTGGAGCATCCTAGGATGGTTTTCGCTGCTTTCATCTGCGCCGCCTCGAGTTCTTTCACTACCTTCTTATTTCCTTCCCATACTTCTCCGGCGTACTCTAGCGGCGGTACGATTACGCTCTTCAAAACCGTCAATTTGATGCGTGTATCGAGGTGCCGGTTTGCGAGTATTGGGTGCAGCTTCCCTGCTCGTGCTTTGCCCTTTTCCGCTACCTTGGACATGTGTGCATTCCACGAGCAGTCTTTTGCGATCTCTACTCCGAGGTATGTGTACTGGTCCACTACTGCAATCTCCTCGATCCCCCACTTCCATCTATGTTCTACTGGTTCCTCCTTGTTCTCGTTGCATACCATGACGGCACTCTTCTGAACGTTGGCAGACAATCTCCACTTATCAGTAAACTTCTTCGCCGCGTCAAATTGCATTTGCAGTCCCTCAGGGGTGTACGACATACCGACAAAATCATCCGCAAACAGCATTCCTGAAACCGACGTTTCCGTGTCCCCTACTTTTACTCCCTTCCGGACTGCCTCTACGACTTCCAACAGATCGTTGATGAACACCTGGAACAATGTTGGGGACAGCGTGCAACCTTGTGGGACCCCCTGCTCAATGTCGAAGAATTTTGACAGTTCTCCGTCTAGCATGACCGCGCTTTTCGTACACTCTGTCATCTGCTTCAGCACTCTCCACGTTTTCCCCTTGATCCCGTATTTGGACAGTTGTTTCCACAACCCATTTCTCCATACGGTGTCGTATGCCTTTTTCACGTCCAGGAAGAAGCAGTACGTCGGCTTTCCCGCCCTCTTTCTACCTTGGATGATTCTCCGTACCGTGATTACGTGGTCTGCGCACCTCCTCTTCTTTCGGAAACCTGCCTGGCCCTCACTAATGCAATGTTCCTCCTCCAATACTCCCACTATCCTATCGTTCAGCAGCTTACATAACACTTTT